CAGTAATGGTGTAACAAGCGTCGCATCGAAGGAGGTATGAATTTAATTTGGACTTTAATTAGGTCGAATAATAAGTTAATTTATATATCTTCTTTACAGGGAAACGTTCAACAGTGCTAACCAGTGGGCTGAAAAAGTAGTTAGTAAAATGAAGAGCGTACGACAGGATGGTCCGTTTCTGGTGTTTCAGATGCAATATATCAAGTTCATGATTTCAAACATGGTGGCATAGTTGATCTGAGGCAAGAGACTTGTACATGCAAATATTGGGAAGGAACTGGGTTGCCTTGTGGTCATGTCATAATGGTCTTGAAGCACTTGAAAAAAACTAACTTCGGACATCTGGCTATAGATGCTTACAAAATGGAAACGTACCAAAGTACGTATGAGGAGCCGGTTTACCCCCTTCCAGAACCGTGTGATTGGGAGATTCCTGCTGAGATGATGGTTGTTAAACCCCCGATAATGGATACACGTCAAGCTGGTAGACCGAGAAACAAATTGTATCCCGTCACAAGGTGAGGAACCTATAGTAAGAAGGTGTAGTAGATGTGATAGTACAACACATAATGCAGAGACTTGTCCAGCATTGGTCCAAAGAAACAAAAAAAGGCCACAAAAAGTAGTGCAACATTAGGTAGTAACACAAAAGGAAAGGAAAGGGACAGAAGGGACTCAGGAGACGCTAGAGACGCACGAGACACAAGAGACGCGTTGGACAAGTGGGACGCAGAGAGAAGACTATTGTTCAACGTTTGATTTGAATGATTGATGTTGTATTTATAATTAATTATGTTTTGTTTTAGAGGACATTAATTTGTGTACTTGAAATGGTGGTGTTTTTTAAAGATGATGGGTATTATTATGATTATATTAGTGCATAATTACTAGTACAATAATAACTAACTACTCGAAGATATACATTCAACAACCAGAAACATATATAAAACGTACAACAACAGTAATTAACTTAAGGGAATTGCAAAGGATACTTTTCTTTCTCCATTGTTATGTAGTCGTCCCTAATTCTTATTTTATCTTCCATACGGTCCTTTTGGATACCAAGTTCTATCATTTCTGCATCCTTGTCAGCAAGCCATTTTTCAGACAGTTTGATATTCTTCTTAGTTTTTTTTATCCAATCCTAATGATCTTTGATTTTTTTAGTAATCATCATTTCCTCAACCTCTTTGCACTCCGCCGCAATCGTTCACTCAGCACTCCGCCGCAATGACGTCACGACGTTCAGTGAGAGCTCGAGATGAGTCTTTATCTTTTTTTTTTTGTGTTCTTCAGCCCATTGTAGTTGTTGCAAAGTATCCTCCGACATATATGGCTCTCTTAAATTTGGTGATGGGGCAAGAAAAGGGTCGATCGGATCACAATAGAAACAATCAACTTCGTTGCACGAGCAAATATACAAAGTTGAAGATGAACTCATTTTAAATTTTAAAAAATTTATAACTCTATACCATAAATCCAACGACCATCCATGACTATATATAGTCCCTTCCACTCCGCAGAGAGCTGTTGTCAGTCCGCAGAGCTTTTTGTCAGTCCGCAATAATTTTGTCAGTCCGCAGAGCTTTTTGTCAGTCCGCAGAGCTGTTTGTCTAGTCGTTGTCATCCATACATTACAATTATGGGAATACAATTATTTATTTAAATAAACATTTTTTATTTAAAAGTAAAGAACGCCAACAGACCATTACAACTACGGTTAACATAGAACTGAATACAAATTAATATTCGTTGTGATCCATACAATACAGTTCAATTGAATTGTCGTGGAGGTAAGACCACAACACTTTCAACTGGTATTTCCCAATGCCTAAGGGTTGGAATAGGATTGACCGTCTCAGTTTGATAAGCATTTCTATACACCGCTGTAGTTAACTTTAAATTTACCATTTGCTGGATTTCTGCAATTTCGAGTCTTTGTAGTGAAGCTATAGCATGCTCACAAGGTATACCGCATTTTTTGCCATTACCACAACTACAAATACCACGGTCTAATTGGACAGTTTCGGTTGTTGAATACTTAGTCACTTCATATCTGTCGCCAACAATATGCGTAATCCTACAACCATCCTGGATAAATCTTTTATGAATCACCTTAAGTGCATAAGGGGTTAGAAGACCATGAAAATCCCCTGTGAAATGAACTGAATCAAAAAAACAAATTATGATGTCATAACGTATAATAACATATCAATTCACCATTTGAGTGATGTCATAACTTATAATTACCTCCAAACGCAGCACGTTGAAGATACACTGCTTGCATCGAGTCATGGACCATTTCAATGATTGTTGTTATTGGAAACTCATGCGTGTTTGTTTTAACCAATTGACAACAACGGGAATGTCAATGAATTTAACATTGAAACGTACTCTTGGAAAACAAGCCCGTACCCATTTTGCAATGGGAATATTGTCAAGCCAATGAAGATCATTCCCATTAACCTCATTTTTTAAGTTGTTCAAACATGCATAAAAATGAGATAAATTATACGCTTTACAAGTCTTCCAGAACAACTGCTCTACGACTGTATTGCTTCCGATGGAAGCGCGTATTTTCTCGGCTATATTTTTACAACAATAGCCATGATATGAATCAGGGTAGACTCTTTCAACTGCAAAGTCTATAGAATCTGACATATGGGTTATGAAACCAACTTCTGTATTGTCACCTAAACATTCTTTAAGCCTCCTCATGAACCATAACCATGAATTGTCACAGTTTATGGTTCCCAAAGCAAACGCTATGAGAAGGGGTTCATGATTTCCATCTAAAGCAACCGCAATGTACATGGATCTTACATACGCCCCAATTAGAGGTACTTGACCAACGAATATGATTGGTATCATAGACGTGAGAAACGTACGAATCTGTAAGTCAACATGTGTTGGATTAGGCATGTAACAACTTGAAATAACTAAATTTTATGTACTATAAGGATTACATACCACGCATCCCAATGCCACGAAACAAATTTGGAAACGATTGTACTGATCTTTCGTAATGTACGTGTAGGTGTTAGGATTGGTTCTTTGCAGATTATGGAAAAAAGTCGGTAGGCTGGAGAAACTTTTTCTTAATACCTGATTGACTGAACTCATTTTCACAACTTTGGACACCTTGTAAAAATGGAAATGCTTGTCCAATTTATAAGGAATTAGTATACATTATTCCGCAGAACTTACTTGTCAGTCCGCGTAAATGACTTGTCAGTACGCGTAACTTATTTGTCAGTCCGCGTAACCTGTTTGAATGTATGTTTTTAAACATGGGAATTATTTTTCATAAAAAAAAGGATAAATACCATATTACATATAATTAAAGCAATACAAGAACAATACAAAACGCAGTACTAGTTAAAAAAACGGGACATTTTTCAAAAGATTCCAAGGGGCTTCATACTCGAAACTCTGTCCGTTGCTAATGGATTTGTATTCTTCTTTAGCCGCCTCCAAGATGTCTTCCTCAGTATCATTCACACGATCGTCTTCAATCTTATTATAAGATCGTTGATAACACAACTTCTGTTTTCAATTCATACCATTTTGCAGCTATATCAAGCGTGCTGCGATGGTTTTCTATGGTGGGTTTCTTCAGCGTCAGTGTTGAACTATTCGTTAATAGGACCCAAAACATTCTATTCCTCCAACTGGTGTTCTCGTAGACATTAATATATGCACGAGTTAGAAGCAAATACTCGTTAGCGGTCCATGGGTTTGAACCCATTGTAAAAATACAAACTACATGAACTAAAACAGATTAGATGAAGTGATACATAATTTTTTGTCTTTTATATAGACATAACATCCGCATCTATTGTCAGTCCAGCATACATTCATCCGCATAGCTATTTTCAGTCCGCGTCAACTTCCGTCCGCATAGCTATTTGTCAGTCCGCGTTACGACTGTCATCCCATAGCTTTTGTCAGTCCGTTACTGACTTGTCAGTCCGCATAGCTATTTGTCAGTCCGCGTTACTGACTTGTCAGTCCGCATAGCTATTTGTCAGTCCGCGTTACTCACTTGTAGTCCGCATAGCTATTTGTCAGTCTGCGTTACTGACTTGTCAGTCCGCATAACTATTTGTCAGTCCGCGTACTGACTTGTCAGTCCATAGCTATTTGTCAGTCCGCGTTACTGACTTGTCAGTCCGCATAGCTATTTGTCAGTCCGCATAGCTATTTGTCAGTCCGCGTTACTCACTTGTCAGTCCGCGTTACCTATCTTTTTATATATAGTAAAGCAAGTATCTATACGTCCGAATTAGAGGTAAGGGATCATTACACAAAATGGCATCCAATGTACCAACGTCTTCAAATGCAGCTAATCTGTCTAATGCGTCTGCTCCAACTAATGGTACATCTCCATGGACGACAACAGAGGTGTTGGTCCTAACACGATGCTGGATTACCGTTTACGAGGGTCTGCCGGTAATAGCTCCCCTTAATTGCCTTCTGGTGATGAATTGTCCCGCTTAGTAGCTTTGTTCAACTATAACGTGGGACAAGGACAAAAACGACTAAAACCCGATATTGTTAGTAAATGGATGGATTTAAAGACTAAAGTCACATGGTACAATCGATGCTACAATTATGAGAAAATGCGATGCTCTGATGCTGATGATGAAGAACTTCTTGAATACGTGAACGGATATTACCTGTGCCAGTTTGATGAAACTGAGTTCGAGTATACGGACGTTTGGAATCTGGTTAGAAATAAACCCTTTTTCATGTAGACGACTCTTTTATTCGTAATGTTCTATGTAATGTTTGTTAGTCGTTCATCTTTTATTTGCAATGTTTTCTGTAATGTTATTATGTTATTTCAAATGTTTGTTTTGTTTTTAATGTATCGTAATATATGTTGGTGAATTATGTTTCAAAAAATATATATGATACAAAAGTTGTTTGTATTAAACAAAACTACTAAAAACAAGTATTTCATAATAATGTATACAAACTTCCAAACATCAAGTTATTTAGTATCCCAAATAATATTTGTCATCATCTTTTCTGTAGAGAAATCCCGCATCTCTACATGGCTTATCACTCTTCACCGGTAACCCCGACCCCCGAGCAATCATTTCCATATACATGCTTACGAATACTCCACAATCCCCTCTATTAGCAATATATTCTTGTTGTGGCGCGTCTACAATATCAATAAACTCCACAACTGCGTTCTCTTTGTGTCCATCGGGGAAATCCTTCCAGTAGTCAATCGCATCTAGCTCTTCGATTATACTATCCCCAAAACTTTTGAATTCTCCACAGTCAAGTACGTTGTGAAGTAATTCATACATCGTGCTGAATCATAAATGTGTACTTTCCAAATATCTAAATGTAGCACTGCCAAAAACCAATGGGCATGAGGAACGTTTATGGGGAATAGAACCTGCAAACAAAAACAAATGTAATAGTCATTAATTCGTTTCCTATATAAAATAAATAATTAATAAACTTAACTAACCATATCCACATCCTTCCATTTAGGATGGCCTCCGACACCATTTGCAATATTCCTAAGAAAATATGTTTTTCCGTTTTGCAAATTAAGTTCTTGAGGGAATATCGTCCACCTTGCGTTCGCCGGCCGTCTTTCCATGAGCAAGGCACTCCATATCGCAATATGCTGTACATTTTAAGATAAAAATTTTATAGTTTTTATATATATTATCGTCTAAATATGTAGTTAAAATTATATTTAACGAATGTTACCGAAGAAATTAACCACCCAGCGTCAGTAACTGCAAGTAACCTCGACCAAAACTCCACATCCAGTGTCAGCATATGCAGCCTATGTTAGTGTTCAGGTTGGAAGAGATACTATTCCATTCTTTCCAAAAAGTCAACGTACTGGCAGCTTCAACACTGTCGAGCAGCAGATGATTTGAAACATCATTACTCTCTTCATTCACAATGTCTTCATTTGCTTTTTCAGGACTCTTCCACCACTTTTTTTTTCTTTGCTTTGGTGATTTTCTTCAATTTTGGTGTGGATTGCATCTAAAAAATTATCATGTTAAATAATTATCAATATGTTAATATTTAAAAAATATACCAAATTTAAAATATGAGTTTTGTACCACTGTGAACGGAGTCCGTTGATACCATGGAACACCCCTCTTTCGTTGCGGCCTAACAATAGGAGTCATTTCTTTTGTGTGATGTTCAGCCACGTCCAATGACGGCTCAACATGCGTAGATGTAGACTCAAATTCCCCCTCCAAACCATGACTACCTATATTATCATAGTCAAAATGTGTATCTTCCTCCTCTTCATTTATCATCTCTTCCTCTCTCTCTCGAAACCTTCTGTCTGGTTCAAAATTGTGTCGGGTTCATCTTTTTTCTGTAATACACGGTCTACTTTAGAACTTAAGTCAGCCACAACGCCTAGTAGACGCTTCACTAATGCCTTTGTGCTCGTCTTCTTCTTCTTTTCCAATCTTGATGTGTCGTGTGACATATAACTTGTTTCTGTTTCAAGATGTTGCGAGGAAGAAGCATTTGTGGCAGATTCAGTCGAAGATGTTTGTATTTCGGACTTGTACATCCTTCTTCGAGCAGGCGAGGAAACAGGAGGTGGACTATTTCGGACGGGACTATGTTGTCGTGGGGGAGACTCTACAGGGTTAAGAGTCCAATTGACATAACGAACATAAAACGATAACATCAGCTCCTCCGGGTTTGCCTCGACATTAATAGGTTCGGTGTTAGGCTGCAAAAATCAGATTGTTAGTTTAACATGAAAATATTTTGGAATTTGTAAATATTGATGATTGTTAATATAAAAACCATACCACAAACACGTTCATTATTCGACAACATTGAACCCAATTCAACGGTGTTTTTACTTCTCCACGCCCTCATCCGTGGCAATTCTGTCGGCGTGCGTATATAAAACTTGGTTGCCTCTGTGAACGTCTCCAAAATCCATATCTATGAAAAAAAATGTAAGTAATGTTCTATTATACTATAAAAGTCATGATACAAACTTATTATATAATACACAACGAAGTTCAAATTTTTATAGTATAAAAAACTAAACAATGATAACTATTAAAATGCATTAGAAACTAACCTTAAACGGAAGCATAAAATCGGGAACGGTATACTTGTGTACTTTCTTCAATTCGGGATTGGACCCTTCAATTCTCTAAACTCTTCTATTTTCTTAAACATTCCACACATCATACGCGAAGTATATTTCCAGAAATACGTACCCCATGCAAACCTGCAATTTTCAATTTATTTATTATAATTAGTGAATTGCATACTACTGCGGGAATGCTTGTTTTAAATGTAATACCTGTTCCAATCATCTATATTATCAGCAAGCTTGTATACTGCTGCAGGAATGCCTGTTTTAACGTCCCGTCCATGTAGACCCTTCAACATAAAAACAAGCTGGATAAGCATCACAGCATCTTCATCTTGTAGTGCCAAATAATTCGGGGACATAATTAAGTCTTCTAAATTTTTCAGCCGTAGACGTGCATCAGAAATCTCTGGAAACAACCGAGCACGGAGATTTGAATTTAACGGACCCTTTTCGTCATGGAGTAAATCCACATAAGGACCAACTTTTAAACCACAAATCAAAATATATTCAGTTTCACCAAAACCCAACTGGATCCCCTCTACATCAAACAGAAACCTCCCCATCTCAAATATTTGTTGACACCTTACTTCGTGCAACATCATCATCTATGCACAAGTAAGGGATCACCATTGGATATGCATTCCTAAGAATATTCCAAAGGGGGAAGCTTCGAATAATATTCGCTGTGATTGTGTTAGGCGCGGAAAATAGTCTTTAATGATAGTCCCCACCACACCTTTCAAAGTTAAATCCGTTTTTTGATTAAGATCTTCATGCTACACAACAAAATAAAAAAAAATTATTATTTCATTTAAAAAACTACTAATTGAAAAAAAATATTATTCCATTATGAAATAAATAGCAACATACTTAAAAGTAGAAAAATAAAAATTGTGCAAAAACCATCACTCCGCGGAGGCTAGAGGTCATTCCGCGGAGGCCTCTCTGCAGAGTGACATCTAGCTTACGCGGAGTCTGTAATGTTGGAAACACATCACTCCGCGGAGAAGCCTCCGCGGACTGACGTCCCCCTCCGCGGAATGGATCATCCGCATTTTTAAACATATTCTGTAAACATAAAAATCCTAAATCTGTATACATATTCAATGTAATCAAATGGGTTTTCCTCTAATTTGAATCGTATTCGACATTAACAATTAGATGAGAATGTGAGAAATACCCGGGAACCGTATCCATCGGCCATTACATCGGGGAATCCGGGGTCCATCGGTGAAGGAAACACCTCTGCCACTTGATTTCGCCGGAGTTGAAGTCGTCGCCGGAGTTGAAGTCCTCGCCGGATTTGAATTCTTCAATCAACGTGCTGCGATGAGTCGATGCGGAGGGGGGACGAGGAACGGGACCAGTGGGGGCCAAAAGAGGAACCCTTTCTTTTTCTCAATAAAATTGGGTGGAAATTACCAAATTACCCCCGCTTCGCGGAGAATTCATGGTTCCGCGGAGGTCCGCGGAGGGTCCTCCGCGGAATGCGTGCCTATATTTGGAAAAAACGTTTTTTATGACTAAATTTTAAAATTTACCCATTTTTTTGTCTATTTGAGGTATTTTCCCTATATATAATCTCCCCTTTAGTTTATTATTTATTTACAATTCCACCCCTAAAGTTTATTATAATTGTAACTATAAATAATATTTTTGACTTATTTATTGGTTTTTTTATATTATTACATTCTTATAATATTTTATAATTTTTAACGTAGAACAATGAAATAAAAAATATTATAAATGTAAACAAAGAGATTAAAATATATAAATAATGTTTTAACGTACCAACCTGTTAACTCATGAACCCGAATATAACCTGTGAATACATATAATTAAACGGGTTAGACGAGTTGTGTTCGGGTTGATGTTTCCAATACGCCCAACCCAAACTCGGTACGATTGTCATCATTATTATAAATGATGTAAGACATGACGTTAAGGTAAGGTAAAAAAACAAAAAAAATGTCCCATGAAAAAACTCAATTGTTTAATTACCGGTGAAAAAAAAACAAAACAAAAAATGCTACTTGAAAAAAACTCATGCCATTACGTGATAAGTCACGTACCGACACATTAAATTTGGTGTTCTTTTTGACCGATTAAACCCAACATAATTTTGATTTTATTAGAGTCGGCGATTGACCAAAAAAATTCAAAACCAAAACCACCACGGGGCTCTAGTCTCGTTGTTTAGAAGTTTTGTAGTCTAAGGGGCTGTTTGGCAGGATCTTAATTTTTAAAATCTTAATTTTAAGAGGTTTGAATTTCTAAGAGGGTCTGAATTTTTAATATCTTAATTTTTAATATCATGTTTGGTTGGAACCTCTGAATTGTAATCTATAAAAAATAACCATTTTTTACCCTTCTATAGTTATGTGTTGTGCTAAATGATAAATGTATAATTGATAAAAATTCCAAATGATCAAACAATAACCAAATTAAACATAAAATCTTCCAAATTAACTTCTTTCAATCCATGAAAACCTAAACATGATACAATACAACCAAATTAAACATAAATTCTTCCAAATTCACTTCTTTCAATCCATGGAAACATAAATATCATATTCTTTCAATCCATGGAAACATAAATATCATACACTAGTCAAATAACAGTTAAAAATCACATTAACTAATGATTCAATAAACAGTAAAAACTTAACCAAAACTTGCAGTTTTGCAATACTTTGGCAATTAAAACACCTTGTTGAGGCAATTCAATATACACATGGTAAGCAATTCAAAATGGTTTGTTTAACAAAACTTCATAATCAATGCTTTTTTTAGGTACATAATATTTTGTTACTTTAATGGACTGTTAATTTGAATGAGCTTCAAACATGGTGGTGCTTGTGATCTCAGCTTCTCTGCTTGGTCATACAAATTGTAATTGAGATAATTGCAAATTAGCAGGTTCAAGAGTGTATAGGAGTGTTTTTCCTGTGCATCATACATTTCAAAATTCATAAATCACATCACCAATAATGATCACAACAACAGTTATAATAAACAAATCTGAGAGCCAATTTCACGATATGATTAAACAAACAATGATAGAGATCAAATTTTAAGAGATTATTATGCTGTAAAAGTGAAGGAGTCGTAGATGAAACCAATTTAGAAAGGAGCTGTTGGAACTCGATTCAGGGCAAGAACTAACCTTTCACGATTTTTAGGTCTCTATGAGATTTCACTGAAGTGAAGTGCGTTGTTGGCGGCGGGGCGGGCGGAAGCGATGGCGGAGACGGAGGCGTCGACGATGGTAGAGGGTTGCAGGTCCGACCAGCAGTGGAAGATAAAAGTAAGCTGTGTCGAGTGAAGTAAAACGAAAAGAAGGAAATAGTTGGGGTTCATTGCAGAGCCTTCGGTAGTGATGGAGGAGGGTGAATGTCGAAGGTGGGTCTCATACAAGATGTTTCACCGAGGGTCTCACAGAGGAATAGAATGGAAGCATAATAGGGAAAATGAGCAAGAAGATGATGTTGGCGTTTTGTTGGAGAGGGTGGGAGGGAAAAACAGAGCAATGGGTAAAAAAGGAACAAGCATCTTTTATTTCTTTTCAGACTCTCTTCCATATCAGAAATATTAAGAGACTTATAAAAGATTAAGAGGCAAAAAATAAGAGCCTGTCAAACAAGGTATATCTGAATTTTTAAGAGGTTACGTCTTAATTTTTCAATTAAGAGGTAAACAAACAGGGCCTAATAGTTGCAAAAAATAGTTTGAAAAAAATAAAAATAAATACAAATCATAAAATCGAGCATAGTACTACGTCAGAGAGGAGAAAAAAAAATTGAATCATAAAAATTACATTTATAGTTATTTATTTATATCTTATTTTTTCTTCCGTTTTATTTTAAAAAGTTGAAATTATATATATATATATATATATATATATATATATATATATCTATATATAATATATATATATATATATATACATGGAAAACGTCATAGAAAACCATTATTAATCAAAAACCACCAGGAACCAATCAAAAACGTCGAAATTTAAAGCGATCAACGACAAAATAAATGGTTGTAAACTTTTACATGGACGCACATGCACAAGATGATAACAAAACTCACTAAAACAAATTTAGGCCATGTTTTTTATGGAAAAAAAACCGAATATACTGTTGTTTACGATTTTTCGTCCTCTTTCCATAGAGATCCATGATGATATATATAAAACAAACTTTTTTTTTTCGAAAAAAAATTCACTTTATTTTCTTTGTTGAAAAGGTAAGGTCTATTTTTTTTTATCAAAATTCATACTTTTTAAACATAGATTCATATTCTTGTTAAAAAAACTATATTTCAGTTCGGATTCACATTATGAACCTGTTCAGATTCATATTGTGAACATGTTCAGATTCAGATTGTGAACCTTCTCAGATTCACAGTGTGCATAATAATAAGTCGGATTCACAATGTGAATCTGAACTGATTGAGCTTTCTCACATTGTGAATGTTAAAAAACTGAAATTTTTACAGTTTAGATTCACAGTGTGAATCTACACTGATCGAGTTTTTTTTAGTCGGTGTTGATGTTTATTAATAGAGTACAAAAGATAAGGACCAGTAATGTATTTTATGATTTGGTCCTACTAAAAAAAACCCCAATGGGCATTACCTAGCTTTTAGCAATAGTCGCATCAAGTCTTTTTTTGTTTATCCTTTACTTTTTCTTTTTCTATTATATATATATATATATATATATATATATATATATATATATATATATATATATATATATATATATATATCCTCCCTAATAAATAAAAATAATTTTGTCACATGTCATTCTCTCATTCATTATGCCAAATGTCATTTTGTCATAATTTTGAGATATTTATTTTCCATTTGTCATTACTTCATTTTTTATTTTTCAATATATCATTAATTTAGTTTCCATAAGTTAAACATACCATAATAATTATATTAATTTCAAATTTCAAACTTCAATTTCAATTTTAAATAAATTTATAGTTTAAACCTTTATATTTAACATTTTGTTATAATTAACACGTTTAGTATACGGGTTTAAGAACTAAACACATAAATTTTAAATTATTTTTTTGCATACTTTTTTTTTCAATTTTTTTCTCATTATTTTAACTTATTTCAAATTTCAAATTGAAATAAACTTCTCATTCAATCATTTATATTTAACATTTTGTTTTAATCAACCCGTATAATATACGGGTCTCACAACTAGTATATATATATATATATATATATATATATATATATATATATATATATATAAGAGAGAGAGAGAGAGGATGGTTCAATTGAGAAAAAAAAAGGTTGAGAATGAAGGAATCATTCTAAGTAGGGATGAGCAAAACGACCGAACCAGCTGGAACCGGCCCGAACCGGATCCGACCCGAGAACCGGCTGCAGCCAAAATCAAGAACCGAACCGGCCCGGCGGTTCTACCGGTTCCCGGTTCCTACCGGTTCTTGTCGTGTCTTCAAATGTTGGAACCGGTCCTCGAAAAATAGCATCATACAGTTCCGGTTTTTGCCGGTTCTAAAGGTTCCGGTTATATCGGTTCCGGTTTCTACCGGTTCCCGGTTCCAAAAATCCACAAAAATAACGTCCCGGTCCCGGCCCGACCGGTTTCATCGGGTTCCGATTCCGGTGCCGGTTCCGGTTCCGGCCGGTTCCCCGGTCCATATGCTCATCCCTAATTCTCAGCCACACATTTGTTTTCCTGCAAAACACTTAGTCGTACCAACGAAAATGGATAACGGGTACACATATGTTTTCTAATCATACATGTTTCATTAAACTATGCTAATCATTATGTTAATATACACAAAAAATATTTTTTTTTATTTTTAGAAAGCTATTTTTATCAAAAAATTATTTTAAATATATCAAAATTCAAAGATTTTTATTCTTTATAAATAGACATTCATATTCATATAGTTTTAAGATAAAATAAAAAAAAATATTTTTTTAGAGTTTCAGCTCTCTTTATTCATAAGTGAATACAGTACATTCGTTATTCATTTATGAATAAAACGTATCCTTAACTTTTTTACAGTTTAAGTATTATTCATATATAAATATAACACGTAATAAAACTTTTTTCTCTAAAATATATTATTTTACATCATCTTTCGTCACACGTTATATTTATATATGAATAAAATGTGTATTAATGGTCGTCATATGTTATATTTATATATAAATAAAAAAATTTATTAGATT